TCCCCTCCCCTCCCCTTCCTCTCCCCTTCCCTTCCCTTCCCTCCCTTCCTTTCTTCCTCTTTTTTTGCTTGTTCTTTGAGACAGGGTCTCACTCTGTTGCCGAGGCTGAAGTGCAGTGGCGTGATCATAACTCACCGCAGCCTCCATCTCCTGGGCTCAAGTGATCCTCTCATCTCAGCCTCCCAAGTAGCTGGGACTACAGCTTTTTTACTTTATGTTTGTAGAGACAGAGTTTTGGTATGTTGTCCAGGCTGGTCTGGAACTCCTGGGGTCAAGCTATCCTCTTTCCTTGGCTTCCCAAGGTGTTGAGATTACAGGCATGAGCCACCGCACCTGGCCCTGAGAACTGCTGCTTTTTCTAGGTGGTAGTGAAGGTGGCGCCCACTGCAAGGTGGCAGGTCACCTACTGGAGAATTCCAGTCCTGGGCCCAGGAGCTGGAAGTCTCACTCCGTCTTCTCTTTCCTCAGAACCGAAAAACCAAAGCTATATGGTAAGAGGCTGTGTAACTGCCTCAATGTGCCAACATGCCCACCTGGGTGACGCCTTCAGCATGAACCACATCAATGTCTCGTGCTGTACTGAAAGTGGCTGTAACCACCCAGACCTGGATGTCCAGTACCGCAAGGGGGCTGCTCCCCAGCCTGGCCCTGCCCATCTCAGCCTCACCATCACTCTATTAATGACTGCCAGACTGTGGGGAGGCACTCTCCTCTGGACCTAAACCTGAAACCCCCCTCTCTGCCCTGGCTGGATCCAGGGGACCCCTTGCCCTTCCCTTGGCTCCAGCCCTACAGACTTGCTGTGTGACCTCAGGCCAGTGTGCTGACCTCTCTGAGCTTCAGTTTTGCCAGCTGTGAAAACACCTATCACAAAGTTGTGCGAAGCAGAAGAGAAAAGCTGGAGGAAGGCCATGGGCCAATGGGAGAGCTCTTGTTATTATTAATATTGTTGCCGCTGTTGTGTTGTCATTGTTATTAATTAATATTCATATTATTTATTTTATACTTAAATAAAGATTTTGTACCAGTGAACAAGGCCAGGTCTGCCCTTCTTTGTAGTGTCTATCTTTGGGAGGATAAATGGTGGGGGACACCTTTCCACAGGCTCCTGGAATCAGGGGTCATGTTTGAGGCCCCTGCCTACCTTGGAAGTCCTTGTGGGGGCTGCCTCCACATCTATTTCTGGACTCCAAATGCTGACAGAGCAGGAGCATCGCCATCTTGAACAAACACCACCATTCTTAGATCCCCTTGATTAAAAATCAGCTAAATCCAGCCCCAAAACATCAGCCTAATGGCTAATATCAGCATAACCAGAAACATTCCAACTCTAAGATAAACCCCTTTCTGACCAAAAACATGCCAACCCCCAGATAGCCTCCCCTCCGACCAGAGACTTTCTAACCCCGCGATAAACTTTTCCTCACATAAAAACATTCTGGACCTATGATAAGCGCCCCCTTCCAAAACCCCTAAATATCCTTAGTCTGAAAAAAAAAAGGGGGGGGCTCTCTAACTTAACTCAGCCAAAAGCCCCTCTCAGGTTTGTTTTCTCTAAAATAAACCTGTCCTTCACTGTCAAGCCACATTTCATGTTTCTTTCCTGTTTCGTTTTCTTTTTCTTCTCTTTGAGATGAAGTTTCACTTTTGTTGCCCAGGCTGAAGTGCAATGACACAATCTCGGCTCACCACAACCTCTGCTTCCCAGTTCAAGCAATTCTTCTGCCTCAGCCTCCCAAGTAGGTGGGATTACAGGCATGCACCACCATACCTGGCTAATTTTGTATTTTTAGTAGAGACGGGGTTTCTCCATGTTGGTCAGGCTGGTCTCAAACTCCCGACCTCAGGTGATCTGCCCACGTAGGTCTCCCAAAGTGCTAGGATTACAGGCATGAGCCACCGCGCCTGACCTCCTCTTTAATTCTTACAAATGCAACCTTCCAGCTCACACACTGAACACTAACCTTCTAGTCTCCTAAACTTCAAAGATTGCAACTATTTTGTTGTTCTAAGGAGACATCCCCACATTTCCCAGTGTACTTTGGGACAGGAGACGGATAGAAGATAATCTGATGGCCAGAACTCCCTGCATGCACTGCAGTGAGGAATAAGGACAGGAGTGCACTTCCCCTGATGTGCTGGGGACAGGGGATAAAGGCTGGGCTCTATTTTCCAGGATGCCTCAGGACTGTCAGAAAAAGAGCCAGAACTACCATTTCAATGGCACTCTAGGAGCATAACATTGAAAAATTCATGTTTCTTCCCATCATTTGCTAAGGCAACCCATGGAGACAAAAATTACATTCCCCATCAAGCCTTGTGGCTAATGAAGAAAAAAAAAATAAGACATCTTCGGCTGGCTGTGGTGGCTCACGCCTGTAATCCCAGCACTTTGAGAGGCCAAGGTGGGCAGATCACTCGAGGTCAGGAGTTTCAGACCAGCCTGGCCAATATGGCAAAACCCCGTCTCTACCAAAATTAACAAAAATTAACCGAGTAAGGTGGTGGGTGCCTGTAATTCCAGCTACTCGGAAGGCTGAGGCAGGAGAATCGCTTGAACCCAGGAGGAGGAGGTTGCAGTGAACCAAAATCACACCACAGTATGACACAGTGAGACCCTATCTCAAAAAAAAAAAAAAAAAAAGACAAAAAAAAGACGTCTTTTCCCTGGTATTTGGGGGTAGGTGAGGGACAAGGTCCTTGTTTAGGGCTTTCTCTAATCACATGTCACCACCTGTCATTGTGGTGGCTTAAAGAGGTGAGGTCTGTACTTCTGCCTCTTGAATATGAGTGACTCTGTGACTGCTTTGACCAGTAGAATGTGGTAGAAGTTTTGCTGTGCTGTGTTCTGGAATCAAGCTTTAAGAAACTGTCATTTCTCACTTTCTGAATCTTAGAACGCTCACTCTGGCGAAACTGGTTGCCATGTAAAAGTACTACTGCCCTGAGACCGCCATGCTGTAAGGAAGCCCAGGCTACTCACGTATAAATGCTATGTGGAGATAGAGCCCCAGATGTTTCAGCCATCTCAGCCCAGGCATCAGACAAGTGGGTGAAGAAGCCACTTTGGACATGTAGCCCCAGCAGATGTGATATAGAGAAGAACCAGGAAACTCAGCTATATTAGTTTCCTATGGCAGCCTGTGATAAATTATTACAAACTTTATAAACTAACACATTGTGTGCCCATATCAAAACATCACGGAAGGACAGGCACAGTGGCTCACGCCTGTAGTCCTAGCACTTTGGGAGGGTGAGAAAGGAAGATCTCTTGAGCTCAGGAGTTCAAGATCAGCCTGTGCAACACAGTGAGACCTCATCTCTACTAAAAAAAAAAAAAAAAAAAAAAACTGGCTGGATGTGGTGGGGCATGCCTATAGTCTTAGCTACATGGGAGGCTGAGTCAGAAGGATCACTTGAGCCCAGGAGGTCAAGGATGCAGTGAGCCATGATCTCACCACTGCACTCCAGCCTGGGCAACAGAGCCAGAGTCTGTCTCAAAAAAAAAAAACAAAACACTAAAACCCAAAACCACGTTACATATGTCCTATAAATATACACAACTATTATGTATCCATAATAATTTAAAATAAAAAATTTAAAACACACACACATAAATCTTACAAACGAGGTGGCTTAAAACCACAGAAACTCGGCCAGGCACAGTGGCTCATGCCTGTAATCCCAGCACTTCGGGAGGCTGATGCGGGCGGATCACAAGGTCAGGCGATCGAGACCATCCTGGCTAACACGGTGAAACTCTGTCTCTAGTAAAAATACAAAAAATTAACCGGGCATGGTGGCGGGCACCTGTAGTCCCAGCTACTCAGGAGGATGAGGCACGAGAATGGCGTGAACCCGGGAGGCGGAGCTTTCAGTGAGCCGAGATCACGCCACTACACTCCAGCCTGGGAAACAGAGCGAGACTCCGTCTCAAAAGAAAAAAAAAACACACACAGAAACTTAGGCCAGGTGTGGTGGCTCACACCTGTAAACCCAGCACTTTGGGAGGCCAAGTCAGGCATATCACTTGAGGCCAGGAATTTGAGACCAGCTTAGCCAACACAGTGAAGCCCTGTCTCTACTAAAAGTCCAAAAAATAAAAAAAAAAAAAATAGCTGGCTGCGGTGGTGCTCCTCTGTAATCCCAGCTACTCGGGAGGCTGAGGCATGAGAAGCGCTTGAATCCAAGAAGCAGAGGTTGCAATGAGCCGAGATTGAACCACTGCACTCCAGCCTGGGCAACAGAATGAGACGCTGTCTAAAAAAAATAAATAAATAAAATAAAATGAAAACACACACACACACACACACACACACACACTAGAAACTTGTTCTCCCACAGTTCTGAATGCTAAATGTCCAAAACCAAGGTGTTGAAGTCTCAGGGGAAGAGCCAAGCTTTTAAAGTGTCAGGGGAAGAGCCATGCTTTTAAAGTCTCGGGGGCTGACACCTGTAATCCCAGCACTTTGGGAGGCGGAGGCGGGGGGATCACCTGAGGTCAGGAGTTCGAGACCAGCCTGGCCAACAGGGTGAAACTCTATCTCTACTAAAAACGCAAAAACTAGCCAGGCATGGTGGCGGGCACTTGTGATCTCAGTTACTCCGGAGGCTGAGGCAGGAGAATTGCTGGAACCTGGGAGGCAGAGGTTGCAGTGAGCCGAGATCACACCATTACACTCCAGCTGGGGCTGACAACAGTGAGACTCGGTCTCAAAAAAAAAAAAGAAAAATTAGAAAGTCTCGGGGGAAGAACCCTTCCTTTCCTCTCCTTTGCTTCTGAGGGACTGCCAGCAATCTCTGCCATTCCTTGGCTTGTAGCTGCATCCCTGTAATCCCTCCCTCTGTCTTCCCATGGCTACCTTCCCTAGAAGTGTGATTATGTCTCCAAATATCTCTCCTTATAACCCCATATCAATCACTGGATTTAGAGCCCACTCTAACTCAGCATGGAATCATTTAGTCATTAATTTAACTAAATCTGCAAAGACTTTCTGGCCAAGCGCCATGGCTCACACCTATAATTCCAGCACTCTGGGAGGCCGAGGCGGATGAATTGCTTGAGGGTGGCAATTGGAGACTGCCTGAGCAACATGGCAAAACCCCATCTCTACAAAAACTGCAAAAATTAGCCAGGTGTGGTGGCGCTTGCCTGTGGTCCCAGTGACTCAGGAGACTGAGGTGGGAGGATCGCTTGAACCTAGGAGGCAGAGGTTTCGGTGAGCTGAGATTGTGCCACTGAACTCCAGCCTGAGCCACAGAGTGAAACTCTGTCTCAAAAAACAAACAAAAAAACACCTTATTTCCAAATAAAGTCACATGCAAAGATACTAGCGGTTAGAAGTTAATCACATCTGGGCAGGGAGCCTGTAATCCCAGCACTTTGGGAAGGCTGAGGTGGGCAGATCGCTTGAATTCAGGAGTTCGAGACCAGCCTGGCCAACATGGTGAAACCCCGTCTCTACTGAAAATACAAAAATTAGCTGGGCATGGTGACACATGCCTGTAATCCCAGCTACTTGGGAGGCTGAAGCAGGAGAATCGCTTGAACCCAGGAGGTGAAGGTTGCAGTGAGCCGAGATCATGCCACTGCACTCTGGCCTGGGTGACACAGCAAGACTCAGTCTCAAGCAAGCAAGCAAACAAAAAAGTCAATTACATTTGCAAAGACTTTATTTCCAAATAAGCTCACATGTACAGATACCAGGGGCTAGAATTTCAACATATATTTTAGTTGGGGGACACTATTCAAAATCCACAATACCAACCACCAGCCTTAGATATATGGCCCTTGGTGCCCCTCCCCTCCATCTCCAGCTGTTCCAGCTGGTTCATTTTTGGCCCCAGTTCATCATGAAGCAGATATTCACCAATCCTGTTCCAATTCCTGACTCACAGAATCATAAAATTAAAAGGTTGTTGTTTCACACCACTACGTTCTGGGGTATTTTGTTATTCAGCGATGGTTAAATGGAACAGTAATTTTTATTTGTTTTTAGCTAACTTTCCCCATTATAATTGCCATGGAAGGCAAG